TAAAACAACTTCCAGGTGCGCTGTAAACAGAGCGTGTTGCGCAACCAGCAAAGGCTGGACTTGTGAAAAAATATGGTGATATCGGAAACAAAACTCCAATAACACACTCAAGAATGCCAATTGAAACTGTTAGAGAACGGGTCGTAGGGCTGGACTGCTTCACAATTAGACCATTGCCATTCACATCACCAAGAGCCGCTGGGCCAGGTCATCCCACTTACCAAGAAGAAAATGAAAGGACAAGCTCGCTCAAAACGTTTACATGCATCAAATCAATCCCTCGACGAGAAGAGGGGCATGACGGATCCTTATAGAATAATGAAAATGAAACTGTCTCTCACTATCACCCCCAGCCCGTCTCTCAGCCGAACAAACAGCCAGCCCAGTGCCGCTTACTGCGTGCGCCCGGCTGTGACGTGTGTGGGCTATTACTCAATTGAGACAGTTGTCGGACATTCTTCTATCTTGGCAATGATGGCTCTTACTCTGGCCATTCCAGGGGTCCACCGAATGCTGCCTGTGGGTGTCAATAGGAGGGATCTGCCTGTGCCAGCGCCACGGAACAGCTTCGCCATGTTCGAGCTTGACGACATTGTGCTGCTCGTAGGCGTTCTTGGCAACCTTAATTCGGCGCCGTTGTTCTTAGTGAAGCCCTCGTCTTTGTCTCCATCGTCGACACGCCTCAACATAGACTCATTGAGTATCATCAAGCATCATTGTCATCTCCAACTCCAGAGCACGCAAGCAGGGCAAAACTACACCTTTGTTGAACCAGATATTACTCGGTCCCCCGACAACGCAACTAGCGTCCAGTGGAAACATGTCCAGTCCATGTTGTCTCTTCCATTCAATGAGGCCCACCTTCAATAGGCCTCCATGATGAGCATGAGCCATCTCCCGTTGTCTTCCCCTCTCTGCCTCACCTTAAAATACACCCAGCCAATAACTAGACATCTCCATGAAAGGGTACAGTTACCATTTTGCCATTCTGCCTCAGCCCCGTGGTACGCTACGGCAGGGCATCGTCATAACCCCTGTGCTGACCCATCAACTCTAAGCGATGCAGCCAATCACGCACGCCTCGCTGATCAGCACAATTCCCTAGCAATGTTCCTTCTAGCACCAGGCAATTGCTGAATGCACGATTGCCTTTCTGGGAAGTATTCTGCGGCCCACAATAACTTCACGATGGATGTTGTGATGCAATGAAGCCCATCGCCAGCCTCCAGCTCAGCCAGAGAACAGTTAGGGGGACGCTTTTGTTGGTCAAAAGACGCGTCCCGTAGTGACCTATGGCGATTGATCTTCAAAAGGTGGTAAGGCGAGATCAGCAGCTCTTCGGCATGCGCAAGTTTCCAAGCAATTCGGTTCACTCTAGCCTGCTTACTCCATCCTCTCAGCCCTACTGGCGGACCCTCGGTGCCAATTGAAAACCTCCAAGTTCTGCCCATCAAAACGCCCTCACTGGGCGGTCACTGCCGAATGTTAGCCCAGGCTAGAATAGGCAGTCAATCCTTCATCGTCTCGGCCGGAAATTGTACCCATAACACCTCATTGCGTGTTATCTGTCGTTGCGCTGGTGGATGTGAATCTAGAATTTAAATAGAGATCGTCTGCGAGGATCCCTGCAACATCACAGCCCACCACCACCTTCTGGCCGCCTTGTCCGTTACCGATCCCCTGCCACAACGAGCCGGCCAATCAATTGTTTCCTCTAGATTTGGTGAACTCCCATGATTACCTGCCTGTTTGCGATCGAAAGTACCTATGTTGGAGAATTTACGTCCCAAACCGGAAACGAGAATCAGGGGCTTCTTCCGTTCAATTGACGTCGAGGCTCGCCCATCAACCGACTTACCTACCCTATACATGGAATTGAGTAGGCCAAGTTCAGGTCCAGTAAATTGTCAGTAATGAGCCTAGATAAATTGCATTATGAGAGCTTAAACACGATATTTCGGCTCTTAATCAAAGTGGTGACTATTGTGGTCGAAGATGTTGCCGTTCAGGACTTTCATCTCCCAAGACGATATAGAAATATTATGAAAACTTTAACGAGGCGCCGTCAACAACATAACAGCCGAACAATGAGATTAATTCGCGTCGCGTGAATTACCCCGCATCAACAGCAAAGATTTCACACATTATCAAAACATTTAAGCTATCCCATCGAAAGTGATTATTTGGCTGCGTCCTGGCGTACATGAATGACCTCTCAACTTCCAGAGTCCGACTCAACAGTCCTCCATCTCTGCCACCCAACGCCAGACGAATGCGTCACCATCTGGACTGACATATCGGCGTTATGGAGGGACTCGCTGACTCTGCCAGTCTTCCTCCGTGAGTCAAGCTTTCTCGCCGCGGCTCCTCTTGCCAAAGACGGCGGCATGACCCAGTGGATTCTGGTCGACAAGCATCAGCCCCCCGACCATCGCCGTATCCTCGCCTCCTGCGAAAGCTTCAGGAAGCGAAGCCTCCAGAGCGACCGGGATGGGAATATCAAGGAATCCACCATCCACGGTATAGCCAGCGTGTTTTGCTCATCCCAGTATCGGCGCCGAGGCTACGCGGGTCGGCACATGGCAGAAATGGCCAAGGCGCTTCGCAGTTGGCAGGCAGATGGCGGAACTCCTGCAATAGGAAGCATCCTATACTCCGACATTGGGAAGGAATACTACGCCAAACTAGGATGGAAGCCTAACCAGACCAACTTCCATTTCGAGTTCCCTCCTGGCGACGTGGAATGGCCATCTTCTGTCCATCCACTGGGCACGGATGAGATTGCAGACCTTTGCCGCAGAGATGAGATGATGATTCGAAAAGCAATGTCGGCGCCCGAGCCGTCTATCAATACACGAGCGGTGATACTCCCCGATGTGGACCACATGTTGTGGCACATTTCCAAAGAAGAGTTTGCTTCCAAGTTCATCTTCGGTGGTAAGGTCCCAGACATCAAGGGGGCAATCGTAGGCAAGCCCGGTAAACAGGTTTGGGCTATCTGGACCCGTCGTTATTATGACCATCCTGATGCTGAGTCGCCTAACAATATGCTCTACATCTTGCGATTGGTGATTGAATCCGACAAAACGGCCAACAGACCCTTCCCCTGCGTCAACTCTGAGGATGTTGCAGCCGCGACAGAACCCGACGTTCTCGAGTCCTTCCAGTCGGTCATTCAGGCCGCTCAGCATCAAGCAAAGGCATGGCGTCTTGATCGGGTGAAAATTTGGGAGCCTTCTGTGCTGGCTCAAAGACTGATTGATGCGAGTTCTCTAGAGTACAAAAAAGTAGAACGGCAGACGGAAAGTATCGCTAGCTGTCTTTGGTTTGGCGATGATAAATCTGACTCTCCAACTGAAGAGCCTGTGTTGATCAACAATGAGCATTACGCTTGGTGCTGACGTCTCTCGGACCATTAGACTAGTAGAGTAGAAAAGAAATGGGGTGATTTTCATGTCATTAATTGAAGATCTCAGTTCTAGATAGTTCTCTCGATTATCCAATCATATGTGCGCATATCGCAAGGTGAAAATACAGCATGTTCCCGATTACCTCCCCAACCATATACCAACACAACCTCTATTTCAGAGCACCCTACAAAGGTCTCGTTCCCGCCATCTACTATTACTAAATCTAGAAGCCTTCCAAGATACACATACCGATTCTTCTGCCTGCACTACTCCGGCTTCCGTCAGACTAACCTGGGGCAGTCACCCAGTTGAGAAACTAGAGAGCTAATCAGCAATACTCTACTGTCGACAGAGTAACTTTGAGAACGATCTTGGTGCACTTTAGAGTTCTCCAATGGCGAAGTAGTTACAGCTGTGCTGTCATCGTTCGGATCAAGCAGACCGCCTTGGTGATAACTATACTTACTTTAAGCCACCCGCAAATGACGCAGTTCTCAGCTGATATGATCAAGCTCTGGAATCATGGTCGATGTAATGAACACCATGGACACGCTAAGATGCAGCATTAGTTGACAATACTTGCAGCTTCTATCTTGTTTGCTGCTTGTTGTTCCTGATTCGTCAAGTGAGGCCGGCTTTTGCGCTTCAGCTGGCTGTCTTATATCTAGGATGTCGATCCCTACTTATACATGCCTCGGAAGAATTGTTGCTGAGGACCAAGAGAGTCTTCAGCTAGGGTTGCTAAGCGAGGCTTCTATCCCCATTGTTTGAACTGTTGCAAGTGCCTTGTATTGCGGCTAGAGTGACTTATGATTGAAGTGATCGATGATGTAACTCAGTTGAACACAAAAAGACCTGACAAGCTGATGTTTCTGTCATTAAATTTGATCCATATCTCGCAGAAGAGCGGTTCTCTTGAACCGATCAAGGTTTGAACGGGGATCTGCTAACAAGTTCAGATGCTGCTGCCTGCAATCGGAACAATGCAATTAAACTTGACTTAGCTACATTTCAGGCTTCCTTTGAGCAATAGTCTACGATATATTACCATTAAAAGATGGCGTATACCGAAAACTGGGTGATTTAGAGGTTCTGCGTGATACTTTTAGTAGCTCGATATTGGATTCTACTCCATTCTTCTGCACCACGAGTACCGTAAAGCCCGTCAATCATGTAGTCGAAGGACCAAGCGGTGTTATGACTTCGGCGTTCATTGCACTCGTTATTTCAATTCTATCGCTAAAATCATATCTCTTCCAAGATATAGAAAGGATGGACGAACGACTAAAGTTGCATTATGATGATGTTGGGTACCAAGGGTTACTTGCAGTGAAGTCTTTTTCCACATAAGATTTATAATTAATACCAAATGATTTTATCTTTTATCTTGCAGTTATTCAGCTTAGATCTCACACAGTCTCCATTCAATTTGACAACGTGGATTGTTTGACTGAATTGGAATTCTTTGTCTAGGGAACAAAAAACAAACTAATGATTCTATCCTCGGCCTCTTAAAGCATACAGTATCAATGATAGACTTCTCTCTACTAAAAAAATTACGATCTTCTGATATTCATGTACAGGAAACAATCAAGCCTGGTTCATCAGTTCGGGATAAAGCCTGATGTTCTCCATGCCGCTCGTGATCTTGTCTTCACCGAGTTCAATCTCCATCTGGATATCCGGCTGCGCTTCCTCATACAACCAATGCTTCTCATTCGTCATCTTCGCGTTGGCAGTGGCCAGCTCATGGCTGATGATCTGCTTCTTCAGTTCAGGGTTACCGCCACAGGCAGCCTCAACGCGCAGCTGAATGTCGCAGCTTCTATCGACAAGCCCGAACAGGAACGAAGCTTCATCAACGGTGTGGCCGACAGTGACAAGGCCGTGATTCATGAGGAGCGCGGCCTTTCCATTGGGGCCAAGAGCCTTTGCAATGTTCTGGCCCTCCTGCTCAGCCGTGACGATGCCGAGGTACTCGTTGTCAACAGCGAGTGCGCCGTAGAGGTCGCAGATGTCCTGGGTGATCATGTCAAGAGGCTTTCCGAACGCACACCATGCGCGGCCGGCGATGGTGTGAGCGTGGCAGATGGAATTGATATCAGTCCGGATCTTGTGGATCTCGGAGTGGATGAAGAAGCCCGGGTTGTTCAAAGGCCGGTTCTGGATGCGGTCGTCAGTACCAGGTCATCGCTTCAGCGGATGCAGAGCCCACTTACCATATTGCCGCCGACGATCTTGCCAGTGTTGATGTCCACACATAGCATGTCTCCCGCACTGAGCAAAGAGAAATGCCTGCCAATGGGGTTCATCCAGATGAGGTGGCGGAACTCGGGGTCCCGGACGCTGATGTGCCCAGAGATGCCCTCAGTGAAGCCGACACGAGCCCAGTTGCGGAAGACAGCTGCCATATGCAACGCAATATGACGACGATGCTCATCGAATGAGCTGAATACGGGAATACCGGTCAGAGGGTTTGGTCCTCGGCTCAAGTCAGCCAATGCTGTGCCGGGTGGGAAGACAGGCTGCTGTTGGCTCTGGGAAGCGCCATCAGGCCGAAGCTTCAGAACGGACGGGGCCGTTTCTCGGACGGTTGTGGTGGTGGATGAGGAAGCCATTGGGTATCCGTATGGTTACAGCCGCTCACTCGAATCAAATCAAACTGACAGATTTCCTGCGTATGCATACAATGATACAACACAGGTTTTGAAATGTGCCGTGCAGGTTGCTCAAGCACGCGCAATGACGTTGAAATAGGCAGAAATTGCCATGTACAGAGAAGGCGCCACCAACCGCCCATAGGACCTGCCCAAGACACTGCGCCTTCTAGGGACATAGATTCTGGAGCCAACGTGCAGCGAACCAATACATACAGGGTGAAGATGGGGCGGGGTAAGGGGATGGACGGAGCTGAGCGCAAGGGCAGTGAGGGGAGCAGTCACTGTACGGTGCTGACAGAGCAAGCTTCTTCTTCTCTGCTAACTTAGGTACTGCTTTCAGACCCAGCGCACAGTCTGCTTTGAGAGGGACACCAGGCACCCGGTAGACTACTGGAATGATCACGCTGGGGCATGCGGTGGAAAAGCATCCCGAGATGATCCTAGGCTCGACTCGGACCCGGTGCCGTAACTCATCACACGGCCAGGGAGGCTTACTCTCTGGGCCGAACGGAGGTAATCTGCTCATTAGGTGACGTATTCCGCCGATGCCTGTGAGCCCGATCATGCTTTGATGGAACGCCCTGTCAGCAACAACAACTTTCATCCGGCTCGGCCAAGAACCGCCCAATCTTAGGCACTCGCATTCCGAGACATTGAGCGGAGGCTGTGGAGCCGCTGCAAATGCAAGTTACAGGTCTGTACTACGTCCGAGTCGAAGCCGATTCCTGCACATGCTCTGCACATCGCCAGGGAGTCCAAGTATCATCGCCACCTCTGCCCCCTGTGCCCAGTTAGAAAATCTTGATCGATCATTAGTGCTGCTGGGGACCATGCATGTATGAAATCCCCCGAGATTCTGGATGCTTACGACCTCGTGCTTGCGTATTGTGGAGGAAAGGCTGGAAGCACGGCCACCGCCATTTACTACTGCTGCTGTCTCATGCAAGGGAGCAAGCCATCTGCTAGGCCAAAACATATCACTTGCATGCTTGGACTAAATAGCTATCCTGCAGCTTAATGGCCCAAGGCAGGTATAGCACGATTGGCGCGATCTCATGCGCACGTATTCCCTGTGAACATTCCTGGCACTCTTCTTCGATCTTGGGTGCTAACAGACAAGTTCCAGCCAAACAGCAACCATGTGAAAGTCAGAAATAATGAGAGAAGGAGGAGGAGGATCAAAAGTCAGTGATAGGGAAACCAGCCAAATCAGCCAGATTAGGATCTCCACATGCATTCCTCGGCAGAGGTACAGCCTCGACAGAGGTATGAACCATTGCTTCGGCATTTCACAATCAGTCAAGTCATTACACTAAAAAAAATTGTCACAAAAATGGTGAACAAATATGTATTAAATGTCCCGCAATGATGGGTAGCCACAGTCTGTGCATAGAAATGTGCATAAGAAAAGGGTCCAATTCACTCATACTAAACCAGATCTCTTCACCGGCTTACCGTTGAAGGAAGTTTTCCTTGAGGATCACTTCCCTTTGGCTGGCTGAAAACATCACAAAGATGTTTTGATTGGACTGTGTTCAACAAGCGAAACGGGGTCCAAGACACTGCCAAGTATCGCAGCCGGCATCGGGTACAAATTGTGCCATTGTTCTTGTGCAGTCAATAGCTGTTTACAATAAACCCCATGCACATGTATGTTCCAAGTACGCATGTGAGAAATGATGTGCCTTCCTCCGAGCTGTATGCCCTGAACGTCCAGGACGGTGTGCACGCGTGCACCTACATCTTGTCCAGAATGAATGGATGGATGGATACTACGCACCCTGGCATGAGCAGAGACCACTCACAGATCGGGATTCTATACTGCACAGGCTGGGCTGGAGACCTCATTGGTGAGGCCGCCTGCGATGGTACCCCCACAGCTGAATGCACATACGGCAATACATACATTGCAATGAAAGACATACGCAATGATGTTTCACACCATAATTCAGCCCATAGCTAGAGCATAGCTGCCTAAAATTCGCCTACATCCGAGAATACGACTGTCCCGCCAGGCGCCAGGGCAAGGCTTTTCACATCCAAGGTCTCATCAAGTTATGTAGCCATCAGGCGTGAAGCTTTAAAGCTCAGAACCATCTCGGAACCTGGCTAGTTCGCTAGTTCCGGTCCTATTAGGGAGACACATCGGTCTAAGAGGGGAAGGCGAGTTGGCCTAAGAAGTACTGGCATGTCACGTCACCGGCCGTATAAGACATGGTGGCTCTCGGATCGCCACTTTGAAATCAGGTCAGATCCAAAGCGGAAATCCTGTGGGAAACGCTGCACGCGGCTTAATTAGGACGGCAGAGGGTTACGGAGGCCAATCACACCATCCCACTGCACCCTACCCATCGTCCTCATCTGTCGTTTACATTGATCGAGCCGACACCACCACCAGGCATAACGGGAACGCGTTGGGAACCGTCAGACGGACCAAAAATGGTGACCGTGTCTGACATCAGACCCGCCCATGCATGAATATTCGCCTAGACTCGGCTCATCCAGTATTACAGTTTGGAAATGTACAAGTTACGAGTTACACAGCATGCATCCATAATGTGTGTGCACGCAGCAGAGAGTCCGTAATGGGTGCATGCATTCCCTTGCCAGGGAACGTACCGGGTATAGACCGACAAACCAGAAAACTCTTTCATGGAACATCGGTAGATGCCCAACCCATGGGAGGAATTACAAATTGGGATCATATCCCACCTCTCCTGGTCTGGTTCTCTGTCTCTTTCTTCTCTACCCGTTAGCATCTGGGCTGATACATACAGACAGATACTCTTCTTACAATTCTCTTTGCTACCACCCCGATAAGATCAGAGAGCAACAGACAAATTAGTTGTTTGATCGCTGGTCTTTCAGGGGAGTAACATAACCAGCGTCCTGCTCTGCTGGTGGCTATCCTGAGCCAAGTTTTATTGACAATATTTGCGGCAATCCTGAGCCCAGATATTGGAAGAATTCTCTTCCCTGTTTCTGATTTCCAACTTCCTGACCCCAAAGGCTATCCTGAGCCTCATTAACATTCTGATAACACCCTGACGGCTATCCTGAGCCACTTTGTCCTCATTACTATTCTTTGATAGTAGCTCATCCCTACAAGAAACATTATATTTTACAACACTAAGCAGGCAAATAACTTCATTTGTGAGGACAAGAATTATCCCAAGATGTCCTTTGTCTCAACAAGCAGTCGGGCCCTCCGTGCCTCATCCTCTCTGCTCCGCGCCACGAAGGCTGCCGGGGGGATCAAGACCATGAATGCGCGCCTGATCCATCAGTCGACAAAGGCCAGCGCCGTCTACGCCGCCACACAGCCCGTCATGACCCCACCTCCTCCGCCGATGATGCCCGAGGTGGCTGCCTCGGCCGCCGCCGGTGTGTCCAATGTGCCCGTCCCCAAGGGCCAGCTGAACATCCGAGAGCACATGTACAAGCCCTCGTTCTACCAGGCCATTGCCAAGACCATGGCCTGGCGCAAGAAGTACCACGAGGACCGCTACATTTTTGTCCCAGGTGAGGAGATGAAGGAGATTCTCCTTGGTCTCGGTGGCACCTTGGAAGACTACGAGCTTCTGAAACACGTTGGTGACAGCCTGACCTGGGACCCGACTCTGCCCTACCGCAAGACAATCAACGGCCGGTTGAAGTTCGACTACACCAAGAACACTGTCCAGCGCCTCGAGTTCCAGCCCTTTGCTCTGTCCGTCGGCGAGGACTTTGACCGCTACGACTCCGGTGTGCTCCGGCGGTTCGACGAGCTGGACAACAACATCCAGCTCAACACCCTGGCTCAGGGGATCCTCATCTTCAAGAGCATAATCATACACGGGATGAATGTGGCTCACCGCGAGAAGATGGACTATGACCAACCATTCAACATCATGACCTTCTTCACCGTCCGCACCACCACCAACAGCGAGATCCTCGGAGAGCCCGCCCTCGAGGGTATCCACGCCGACGGGGTGGACCACACCCTCACCACACTGCTGGCCCATGAGAACATGCGGCCCGACAGCGCGGCCACCTTCATGCACGATATGCAGGAGACGACGGGCATCAAGCTCAACGAGGCCAAGCCGGAGAACATCCGCGGGCGCGTGCAGCACACCAAGTTCCTCGACACGCTCATGGTCGTCGACCACGAGTACAAGCACAGCCTGTCGCCCGTGTACCAGGACGACACGTCCAAGGACGCCACCCGCGACATGATCATCCTCTTCACCCGCAAGCCCACCGTCCCCGGGCATGTCTCGGGTAAGATCGACTCGACTCGCCCTCACAAGGACAAGCCGATGGAAATTCCTCTGTTTGTGCCCAACGCGATGATGTAGAGGGCCATCGGTTCTCCCCTCTCTGCAGGCACGACATGACGCAGGGGGGCAGTCTTGTCTCACGATTTATGAATAACTGGTAACTATGGATGCCACTCATCGCGTTTCCCCAGACGCACTGTCACTCGTTTCTTTTCAAAAAGCTTCCCTTTTTTCTCCTTCAGTTGGATCGGATTTTACGGCTTGGGACTCACAGATTGAACAAACACACACTTACGGTTTTATACAGCCGGTGATATGGAAGTATGTTTTGCACGGATTAGGCTACATGAGACTGACATTTCATTCCAAAGCACGCCATTAGGGCCTCGTTGATGTTGAGATGTATCTACAAAGCTTCATGCTCATCGAATACAAACTCACCTGGCCCTTCTTCACTGATCCTCTCTCGCTCTAGCCTGTAATGCACTGTAAGAGGCGGTTTTGGAGTTCCTCCCGCTGTAATAAAAAAAAACACAACCCTCAGTAGTAGTATTGATACTGTGTCAATAATTTAATATAGGCACTGTGTGAGACGAACATCCGCTGTCATCCTCCAGTACAAAGTCCTACTGCCGGAATTATAGCGCACATCCATAACATCGGGCCTTGCCGGTGCCTCGGCTTACAGTGCGAACA